ACTTTCACTCGAAATGGAAGTAAGCTCAGCAATTATGAAACAAGAGATTCCTCAAAACCCAACTTTTCTTTGCATACTCGAATTTCCAAAATGGCCGATTACAAACTTTGATGATGATGCATGTGTTCACCATTCATTTTGACAACCTCACCTTCACCCGTTCATAATATCTCACTCACTGTCGTAATCTGGACATAAACTCAAAGGAGGGAATAGACGCAATTGGTTATTAAAATTCCTACAAAATATGTTAATATTGGACAATTTCCGTTTGAATCAACTCCAGCAGATTAATTCGAGATAGTAAGCAAAGAAATGAGGCACTTATGGAGGACAATTTCAAGAGTGTGTGCTTGTCGACTTGTTCGTCATCTCTACACGCTTCGCAGAGTTGGTTTGACATCTTCTTTGCGACTTCCTTGCCTTTACGCGCCACTAACAGCGCGAAACCAACTTGTCAGTATCAGCCGGTTATCAAATTGCCTTTCTCGAAGGGCCGGACTCGAAGTTGGCCTCACCGGAGAGCAGCAGCACTGGACTATTTTGTGTCGACGGGATTATCCGATTTTGGTATAGATACTTCTGAACAGCCGAGCAGCAAAGACAACATTGCCGCTTGACCCTTATAGGCCCGTCTCATAGTTCAGCATTTCGAATCCTCAAGGCTGGCCAAATACAAAGCCAGGCATCTTTCCAAAAACTATAAGAGAATTAAGCTAGTCGAGTTTTTAGAAGCAAAATCAAAGCGCGTTTGGGAATTTCTAAAATCACACGAGATTACGAAATAGGAAATATTTATAACTTTAAAGGTAATACAATGGTAATAACATTATACTATAATTAGATAAATAATAAATAAAGATTGGGAAAATCTCAAGGTCAAACCAAGGTACACAGCCCAGTAATGAGTCTCGGAGCATTTTTCTAAAGAGAAATGAAGAAGAAACGGAACCGGAACTTATCTATAAAATTCGGACGCATCTTCACTGGCCAAAGATTTCCGCAAAAGACAAATGGAGTCTGGAGAAAATGGGAAGAAATATCAAAGCTACGACTATTTGGATCGAGCGGGTGCCGTAGGACACAGGGAAAATCTGACGAGAAACGAGACGAAGAGAACTGTACAATAAGTGCACTGGTGCGAAAGTAGGTCAGACCCCCGACATCGCATGCGGCATCAGAGTTGCCCATTGAAGAGAAATCAGCAAGTCTAAAAGGCTACAGGACAGGTGAATTGTGCATAATGTGGAAAAGAGTGCGGGACTCGTTTGACATTTGTGAAGCACTCGACTATCAAGGATAGATGGAGGCATGAGACCTTGGAAACGGAATATGATAACCTGAAAAAGAAAGAGTCGTTGATAAAAGGACTCCGACTGAAGATAATAGCTCTAAAGTGCACTTTAAGTCTTACTTCTAAAGAATTCATCCCTCTTGGCTAATGTCACCTGAAAAATGAAGAAGCATTCCTGATAAATGAATTAAAGCTGGGACCCAAAGAATGCCCAAATAATTTACTTTCATTGAATTTGTCGCTTCTGAGGGAAAATTTGGTCTCACAGGATGCCGAAGTAGGATTGACACGAAGTTGTGATTTGCGAGGTGGAGTCCTCGGCATACCGTCATGCGGCTATGATTCACTCTTCTGACGGCATCTTCAGAACCAGATAGCCAATTATTTTTGGTTTAAGGCTTGATGAAGATTTCTTAAAGAATTTCTTCCTGTCAGGACGAAAAGTTCAGAGCCTCAGAATAGTGAGCCGAGGCTTTCTTGATAGAAAATAAACAGTCATAACTACTCGGTAATCCTTCTTCGACTTGTGATGAGACCAACTCACGAATCAATTCAATTCAATGTTTTCCGTCAAACGGTAGAATGCTGGATTGCCCCGCGGCAATCGAGACTGATCCCACGACGCACGGACGACTCATTTTACATTTGGTCGCAGGAAATGGAACATTCAAAGTTGACCGTCGCTTTTTTAAACGGGGCTTTGAGGTCACTAAAGCTGCATGTGAAGCTTATAAAGACGAATAGTTGCTGCTCTAAGTAGATAAGAAATTCTAAAGAGGAGGTAGTTTAGTAATAAAACCCACTTATGAAGTTATATTCAGTTTTAGTTCACGTTTCAACCACAGTTTAACGGGTGAGGGATTCTGGAACCAAGCAACAGTGGTCCAGTAGGCCTCATTGACCGAGAGGAGCAGACGAGAATCTGGGGCTTTCGCGGGTCGCCAGGAGGAGAAGGAGCTACAAAATAGGCGAAAGCGGCAGCTGCTGGTGAACTGGAACATTCGGACGACGATCCGCCACGAACAGAACAACTCAGTGTGAAAAAGTGAGAAATCTGGATTGTTCATGTTATTGCAAGCCCAAATTGAATGACAGTAAAGGAAAGGAAAGGAGGCTACAAACTAGCCTACGAATTGAAGAACTCCACTGACTGTACAGAAGCACTCCCTCGGAAAGATCGGATAATGCAGAACAAATTGCATCTACCACACACACACATACACATACACATCACCTGGAATGCAACCGATGGCCTGGCTTCATACGGATACAAGTAGGAGGAATCGAAAGACCGTGGAATATGTCGACCTCATGCACGTTGAGTTTAAAAAAAAAGAGAAGCCCAGCGAGAAGCCCGTTTAAGGTTTAGGCTAACTAGCGGGAAGGCAACAATACAGAAATTCGAAGGTATAAAGTCCAAAATGGTGTGACCTTTTGTGTGGTCGCAGTCTTCTTTCGTTGTCTAGAAGTTGTTTGACCTTGTTTTCGCAGCTTGGTCATTTTGGTAGGAAAACTTAGAGGAACGCACCTAGTACGGAGTCCATTGTATGCATCATCATTTCCAGAGTACATCTGGAAATGTACCACGTCCAGGGTCCTACTCTGGAAATGATGATGCATACAATGTACTCCGGACTTGGTGCGCTCCTCTAAGTCTTCCTACCAAAATGACCAAGTTGCAAAAACAAGGTCAAATAACCTCAATACAAAAATTTACTAAAAAGCAGATCTCTGGATCAAGGATACAACTTGAATGTCGGGAGAGGCAGCTGAGAGGGAAATGAATAAAAGACAAGACGGATAAGGTGAGAAGATAAGGCTTCAAAAGTCGAGGAACGGTACAAAGAAGGATGCCAAGAAGACTAGTTGTGATCGTCTGATCAAGCCTATGCTACATGGACCACGTCTATGGTAAAACGGGCCTACAGTCAGCCAAGTAGCTCTAGTCTCCGTCGCGTCTATCCTGTTTCTATTCCTAATACCAAGTCTATGACTTCCCCTGCCCTAGTCTCTTGTGTGCCAACCCACAAATGTTGTGGTACTGCTTACTTTGGTTAGGTTCAATGATGAACCACAACGTTTGTGGGTTGAAACACAAGAGATGAGGGCACAGGAAGTCATAGACTTGGTATTAGGGATAGAAACAGGATAGTCGTGGCGGAGACTGGAGCTAGTTGGCTGATAGTAGGCTTTTTGTACCAGAGACGTTGTCCATTCATGCAGAAGCTGTTTTCGAGGTAATCGCCTTAGATTCCGGTGAAAGGGGATAAACTTTCGTCCGTCATATGACGAACATCATCAGAGCAATGTATCATCGTCACAACAACATTCAAGCTAACGAGTAATGAAAACTCACCCACAAACCCCTAAAAAGTGGTATATATGCTCTATATCTGGCCTCTTTTATCAAGTATAAAGTGATTTGGTTGGTTACCATCATATGCCAACCTCAAAGCCTGTGAATACGTTTGTCTCTGTTTGTGCTCGCTTATACATGAAACAAGAAGTGAGGGCTAAAAGTAATTAGGACAGCAAAAGTAACGTCTATTCTCGGTCATCCAGGTTTGATGACCACCATCTCCCCCTTTCTACATTTAACTTATAACCGTCACTCCGGTTGCTCAAGGTCGGACACACGTTTGGCTTTGTTGATGATCCTACTTCCATTTCGAGTGAAAATGTTGGGTGAAGAGAGGCCAGATGTAGAGTGCATATACCACTTTTTAAGGATTTGTCAGTTGGTTTTCTTGACCCGTTAACCTGAATTTTGTTGTGACGATGATAATTGATGAGCTTACTTCCATTTCGAGTGAAAGTGTTGGGTGAAGAGATTCGAAGGTCGATTTCACCAGAAAACGACGGTGGATTCCTCTTGACCAGTTGTCGATTGGCTTTACTGGAAGATTCATGCTGACGCTGTTTCCGAAGCAATCACATTCGATTCCGGTGAAAAGGTGCTAAGCTTTCGTCAGTCATAGGACGAACATCATCAGAACAAGGTATCATCGTCACGACAAAATTCAGACTAACGAGTCAAGAAAACTCACCGACAAATCCCTAAAAAGTGGTATATACACTCTACATCAGGCCACTCTTCACCCAAAACTTTCACTCGAAATGGAAGTGAGGTCAACAATTATGAAACAAGAGATTCCTCGAAACACAACTATTCTTCGCATATGTGACGATGATAGCTTGCTCTGATTATGTTTGTCATATGACGGACGAAAGCTTAGCATCTTTTCACCGGCACCGAAGGAGATCACCTCGAAAACAGGGTCAGCATGAATCTTCTAGTAAAGCCAATCGACAGCTGGTCAAGAGGAATTCGCCGTCGTCTTCTGTTGGAACTGACCTTCGAAACTTTTTACCCAACACTCTCACTTGAAATGGAAGTAAGCTTAACAATTAGCAAACAAGAGATTCTTCGAAACCCAATTTTTCTTCGCATATATTAAGTACGTATGGTATGAATTCTTATCAACTTTCTTCTGGCTATACGAAAATCAAGAAATCTATATCTTAGCAAGTTAATACTATGGGATATTTAAAAAATTTTATTTCATTTAATGTAGTTCCTAGATGTTGTATTTTTGGTAGGCGTCCAGATTTACCTATTTCCACTAATAGGAAACTGGAGCATGTATCAGGTGGTTTGGTTAAGTCTAGACTCAAAGAAAGTATAGACAAATAACAGGACCTGATTAGAACCAAAACTAGGATTAGACTATGCCTTTCTCAGCTATTTTCTCAAGAAGGCTTTATCAAATTGCAGAAAATGGCGGACGGTTTGGCAGATAGGATGGATAAGATCCATAGATCCCGTCATGATAAGAAATTAAGGAATTTAGGCATCAACATCAGCCAAAGGAATCATCGAAAGAATAAA